GCAGCATATGCCGTGCGATCTATGTTGTGCAAAGGATGGCTTGCAATTACGATAGGGCAATTTATGTCGTGCAGTTTATGTGGTGATTTTTTTGTGTGGTCCATGCTAAATGGGTGGTGCAAAATACGTGGTGCGCTCTATGTTGTGATGTATACGTGGTGCAACCAGTGCGGTGCAATCCACTTGGTGCAATAAATGCGGTGCAACCGATGTGGTGCAGTATACGTGGGCCAATATACGCGGTGCAACCCACCCTGCCGAATTTGAGGTTGACAAATCCATTGATCGCAAAATCATCCCACCCACCCACCCGCAACCTGGCTTGCAAATCCCAAGCGGCGGCGATTGCGATGATCGGTTGGCGCCGGTAGGCACACCGCTGCGGCCGCACTAGCGCGTGCATTCTCGCGCGCGGAGCGGCCAGCCAGTCTGGCGCGACCGCCGCGGCCGCGGTGGCGCTGACCGCCTGGGAATTCCTAGCGCGTATCAGCACCCGCGCCGACGCGCGGGCACTTCAGTGCGAGCCGGTGACTCGGGCGGGCGCGGTGTCATGGCGACGTCGACGACAGCAGACGCGGTGAGGTCGTATTATAGCGACACTGAGGACGTAAATGGTGATGACGACGGCAAGACCAATGACGGCGCCAATACTGACCAGGCCGAGGACAATGATGGTGTCCATGCGTCGGTGATGACATCTTTGAAGCGATTTCGACATGCGCGCGCGGCCGACGGGTGCGAGTGGCTCGCATGGTATCATCCGAAAAAGGATCGTGCCCCCCCCAGCACGCGCGCAAGGGCACTCGAATGATTCCAGCACGCGCGCGCAAGAGGCCAGCTTGGTCGCAAGAGCGAACGCGCAGATTCATTTTGGTTGAAAAAATGTGTATATGTGTTCGGGACAATCGATGTTGAAAACCCTGCGAAACAGAATTTTCAAACGAATTCCGGCATGCGCGCGCGATGGCGCGCGCGTGTACACTTCGCCCCGTCGTTTGCAACAGATGATTGAAAAAAAACTCTTGATTGTTGACAAACGGGTGCCCGCGTATAGTGATATCTGCCATGGATGACAAGGGGGTGTCGATAGTGGCTGGGCTGGGGTAGTATGAGTTCACATTTCGAATGTAGGGTGGGGCGCATTCAATTGTAAATTACACATCCTCACGGTGGACGGTAAACCCTGGGGGGGCGGCAGTTCCAAATTCCCCTTGTAAAGCAACAGATGCGAGGCGGCGACGGGGCGGCGACGGATGCGACGGGGCGGCGACGGCGAGCGCGGAACCGCCAGACGGACACCCACGCCCAGACGACGGGCGGCGACAAGGAGGCGACGGGGCGGCGACGGCAAGCACGGAACCGCCAGACCGAAACAGGCCCAGACGACGGGAGGCGACTAGGCGGCGACGGCAACCATGGAGACGCCAGATCGACACCAAGGCCCCGTTCCTTAGACCATAAATAACAAACCCAGAGTGCAAGCAGTGTCCGGGAAATTTGCCAGGCGCGCGTCGTCGCCTGTCAATATCAGCAGGCCTCGCGCCATCGCACGCCATTGCTCTCGCATGTAGAAGCGCGGACGCTTCACAATCAAAACTCAAATCGCCATCGCAAGCTGAATATTATTTCGCCCCTGCCCTCGAATGCGTGGGTGCTTGATACGATCCATCGAAATCCACGGCAACGCAACATCCACATAAAAACGTTGGGCCCGTCACTTGACGCCATTTGACGCGTTCAACAGTTGTTTCTTGCGGAATGCGGACCAACACAAATGTAAACGCATGCTGAAATACAAACGAACACACGCACTCATTCCCCCCACCCACCCCAAGACGTTGCAACACTGATAGGTCAGATGCATGCGGGCTGCGTTGGCGCGCGTTGCAATCGCACGTGCGGCGACCGTGCTCAAACCGAAGCCGTGGATTTCCGGGTACGAAACGGGCGAAGGTGAGCGGCAGGCAGCGACACTGGCGGGACATATGAGTGCCGCGAGCAACGAGAACGTGTGAACTGGACCCGCGAGGGCAAGATGTCCAATATCCACCAGTGAGTCAAGTAAACGCGCGCCCTGGGAAACATGGGGCACGCGCCCAGGATGGGGGAGAAGGCAGCACATACACGCACTTTCAAGCCGGCGGCGCAGGGGGGCCTCAAGCGCGGTCGGCAGGCGGAAGTGCCAAGTGCGAACGAACTTAATCGAGCGCGCCATGATGAAATGATCCAGCCACGGCCATGCAGATGGGTGGCGGGAGAAGTGGAGCACTTTGAAAGCAAGAAGCAACGGCCAACCATCCTGCGGAGCGTAGGCGCGACGCCGGGAGTTGAAGCCCAAGTGTTCACTAGCCAGTGGAGCGGAGAAGAACTGTCAGGCTGCCAGACCAGCCAGCGTGGCGGCGACGCGAAATGCGAAGCAGCGCGACGCCATCGGACCTGGAACTGCACGACACACACACACGTGCACGCACGCACAATTTCCCGCTAGCGACACGGCGAAAGCACCGCCGCGAGTACTAAGGCGGGGCGCATTTAGCTCAATTACCACCTGTCGTTGCAGATGGGGGGTCTAGATGCAAGCAGACGCGCGCAGTTCGCGAGACCGCGGCTGCGCGTGGAAAAGACCGGGTAGGCCATGGCACCCAAGCGCCGAATGCAGGAGACGTGAGCAATGCATGAGACATTCTCCCTCGCGACCCACGTAAGGGTGCGAAGCGAAGGCGGCCGCCGCACCATTAACGCAGGAAATAATGAACGTGTAAGATTTGCACAACTTTGCTTCGCAGCCGGCTGGTCCAACTCAGCGAAAGCGGCGTTCGTGGGATGCGCTGCGTGGATTACAGCTGGGCGTGCGCCGATGGATGGCAACCCGCGAGCGGTTGCACGGGCAGAAAAAAACAGGTGCACAACAGCCATGCACATGCAGCGCCGCAGGCTGTAGGGGTCAACCACTCTCGATACCCTTAAGCTTGGCAAGCCAGATGGCGATGACAATCTTAGGGATGCGCCTTCGAAAACTGAAGGAATCCTTAAGATCGCCATCGAGATGGCGATGCCAGTCATAGGGGTGGGGATTTGCCCCAAGCTGGCAAGGAGTAGCTCGATGCGGCGGAAGGGCCGAAAGTGTTCAGCGCCAGCACCCAGGTGGACGACCTGGAAGAGCACGGCAGCAGGGAGGCAAGGTAGTGGCGACGCCCAAGGACCGGGGCGAACCCGAAACCGGGGGAAGGATGGGGGGGGGCGACGTCAACGACCCAACGACCCCCCCTGTCGACGACCCTGGGCACCAGCACAGGGAGAACAGAGGGGCGGGGCGGAGGGAGGAAGGGGCGACGCGCCAGGCGGCGCGAGGGGTGCTGGGGGGCCGACCGGACCGCGCCCAGGCTGCCCGCGGAGGCCGACTGTGCAGCAGCGTGGCCAGCGACTCCACGACGGGCCGCAGGCAGGCAACGCGCGCTCCGCAGGCCGAGATAGACCGCGCCCGCGGGCAGGCGCAGCGAGTGGCGGTGGCGCGGCTGACAGCGACCCTGTCAGAGCCAGACGTCGCGTCGGCGGAAATGACATCGCCCGCAAGGCCAGAGGCAGTGCCGATGGAGAACCGGCGCTCAGGGCAGCCCGGGGGGCGACGGAGCGCGCCCGCCCAGCACCGCCACGATGCGACACAGAAGTGCCAGCTCCGCGGGGCCGAGGAGAGGCAGCGCCAGGTGCAAGGCGAAGCGCGGTGGCAACCGCCAGCGGCACCAGACCAGGGGCAGGAGCGACGCGACGAGGGCGAGGAGGCAGCCGGGACGCCGCCGGGGGCTGCCACCGCGGGGCAGGGGCCGAGCCCCAAGCAGCCAAAAGATGCCGACAGCGCCGCGGCGCAGCCGGCAACTTCGCGATAGTCAAACAAGAAACGCACCAGCTGCACAGACTGCACTCGGCGATGAAACGGCCAGCGACGGCCCCTGAACCCGCGCCAGCTGCCACGCAGACAAGGGGCAAGTGCACCGCTGAGGGAGGGGGGGGCCTAGCCTCCCCGGGGGCAGGGCAGGCCGAAGTGTTCGAAACGTGGAGAGTCGCCCTGGGGGGCGAAGGGGCGCGGCTGCATGCAGGGCAATCCTCGGGGCCAGGCCAAGCGTTCGATGGCCACAGACAGAATGCGGCAAAGCCAGGCAGGGCAGGGCGTGACGGGCCGATGATGGAAGGCCCGCAAGCGTCACAACTTCTTCTTCTTCCTGCAGCACACAGTAACCACCGAAAGGGCCTGCAACAAAGACAGCGCAGCCAAGCAATAGTTGATTTAAATTTGAGCCGCGGGTTGCATTGCGTGGCGCGCGCGGGCCAAGTCACGCGACGCGGCCGCGCGGTCGGACAGGGGGGGGGGGCGCGGCGCCGAACGACCGCTGCTTGAAACAAATGTGGCGGGAGGCCCAAACGGGCCCACATAATAACTGCTCACTCGTCGCGCTAGAAACAATGGCAGGCATTCAAGAACATGTTGTAGGCGCCCGGTATGTTTGCAGGCGCGATTCTGGCCATCAGGACGCGCAACAATCACGAACTGCGCCCCTCCTGGCTCCGCTGTAGCGCGTCGGCGTGCCCGGGTGGGCCGGGCCCCGCAGGGCCTCGGCCTCCTGGGCTGGGCCCCGCAAGGCCTCCGTCTCACGTGACCTTTTCACCTCGGGGCGCCAGAGCCATCGCGGCTGCAGAATACACGCACGTCACACATGCGCGCGACATCATCTCAAACAGGCAACTCGAACGCATAGGAGCGACAGCCTTGGGTTTCGGGGGTGTGTGTGATTCTGCGCTGCATTCCGCATTCCCCCCGGGCCCAGGTCTCAGCCCGGGCCCCCATCACAAAGCAGAAGCCGCCCAGAGAGACTCTAGCCACAACTCAACCTGGATCCTGCGCCCTCGGACTTGTCGATCGCCCCGGCGCTGGGCTTGCCCCTTTTCAAGCGAGAGACGCGAGCAGAGGCTGCGCGCCAATGCAGGGCGGCGCGGTACGCCGCGGCTCACCTGCGGCCTGCTCCGAGCAGCAGGTCCACGATCATCTGGGCCTTCAACTGTCCGTGGTAGATGCCCGGCCGCAGGCGCTCCTCGCGGAGATCCGCGGCGCTCCCCGTTCAGCACTGCTTGTTGGGCATCCTCTGGGCGCGCCTGCTCGTGAGTCCCTGGGGAACGAGGGCCAGCTCGCGGCCCGCTGGCGCGGGCTGCTCCTCCTCGCCGATCTGCCCACAGGGACCTTTCGCGAACTTCATCAGAAACTTGTAGATGTGATGCCCGATCCATGCGGACAAGAACGAAAACGCCAACGTCGATACGCACATGGCCGCGATGACCGTCGCCCAGATCTGCCGCGACCATGGCCGCGTGGCTGGCCCGGGCCAACTGTCTGGCTCATCGGGCTCCTCTGGGTAGCGTCGCCGCCAGCAGCGCCCCGAACGCCTGCGCGCGCCCTTGGGGGCGGCGCCCAAAGTGGAAACGTCGCCAGCAGCGTCATGAATTTGGGTTCCTCGAGCGATTTGGTTTGCATGTCCGCCCTGTTGACGTCCGCGCGGGTCTTCGCCATCGACGTCGTCTCGCCCCCGATCTTCTCTTGCGCCCAGAGATACTTCGTCTCCAAGTGTCGAACCTTCCCGCGTCCAAGACGCGATGCGACGCCCTGGGCCCCAGAGCTGCCAGTGTTGACCTGCAGCATCATGTCGATCCCCGTCTCCAGCAGCAAGTTCTTCAACCAGATGCCCCTGGCTGAAACGTTCACAGCACCCTTGAACTCCGCCCCCGCGATGCTCAGCGCGCGGTTGCCCTGCTGACCGCTCCAGCTGTCGATGCGGTGCGATCCGATGAACAGGACGCCGCCGTCCACGGATCCCCGCCCAGGCTCGGAGGCCCAGTCGCTGTCGACCTCCGCCACGATCCCTTTGGACATCCTATGGGACTCGGAGAACAGCTCGAGCTGCGGGCGCTGCCCCAGGTAGCTCGCCATGCGCTGCAGTAGAAGCCACTGGTGCTAAGTGGCGGCCGTCATGAACCTCCTGAGGCACGGCCTGCTGAACGTCGACGCTATCGTGGGCTGCGTGCGTGGCTGTGGGGGCCATGCTGCGGCGCGCAGCTGCGTGCTCCGCCATGGGCTAAGCGGCCGACCGCCTATGCAGAACCTGCCAGCGGTCTTGGACGAGGGCGTGATCGTCCGCACGGTGGTGCTACTCTCGCCGACCTTCCTGTTGAGCTGGTGCTAACCAGGATCCCAACATTCTTGCGGTCGCGCTGGGTGCAGAAGCCCTCCGGGCACCACGTGACAGTCCTCCCGGGGAAGTTCCCTGGCTCGACTCGTCATTGCCGAGGGTTGCCGACCCGTGGCATCATCTTGACCTTGAAGTGTCCCTTGATCAGGTCGTCGAGCCAGCCCAGGGAAGCCATCCTCCCTCCAGACAGATAGCCGCCGCCATGGACGATGACCATCAGCTCCCTCTCCATGTGGAAGTACACCTGAAACGCCACCTTGACCGTAACGAAGCCGCCCTTCTCCATGACCTCCATGATCAAGTTCTGGAAGGGGAACGAAGCCCCCCTCGTGCCATGCATGGCGCGCTCCAGCTGGCGCTCGCGGACGCGCTTGCCCTTCGCGAGGTGCTGCGGAAGACTGTCGAAGACTTTGAACTCCTCCATCGGCTTTCGCTCGGTCCCCCTGCCTCGCTTGGCCATGCCCGGGCTCAGCTTCTCGCCTGGCCTCGCGCCGCAGACGTCCTGGTAGGTCGCCGCGCGGCCGCGGAGCTCCTGCTCGGCTCGCGCTGACAGGCCATCGATGGGCGTGGCATCGCACACCAAGGCGATGATCGCTATTGCCGCGTTGATGAGAAGGCCTCCGATCTGCTCTGCCTGTGTTTGGCCCCCTCCATCCAGCAGCGCGCGGCCCCACTTCGCCTCGACCATTCCCATCTCCATTCCGTGCTGGGCGGGCTGATTCTTGTGCGCGGGCTCAGGAGGCGCGTCGGCTTCCAGTCGGCGTGGGCGTAATCGCGTAGTCCACAGGTCCCATCCACGGTCAGATGGGCGCACTCGATGACGCCCGACTGGCACTCCAGGGCGCTGTGGACGGCGAGCGGCTCTCCCTCGACATCCCCCAAAAACAAATAATCGACGCAGACCGGCGGGATCAGGCGGCCACGGCCTGCCAGGCGCGCGCGGGGATCTTCCTGTCCGCGGGCCACGAAGCAGAACCAGCACCACGCGCGAAACAGCCAGTTGGTGAGTCGGTGCTGATCGCGAACCGCTCGGTCTGGCAGCGCGGGAACCCCTCGGGCCTTCGCCGCCGCGGCCTCTAGAGGAACCTTCAGTGGAGCACCCTCTCCTCGCCGCCGTCGAACTCCCTCTCGCTGGTCTTCCTCCTGGCCAGGCTGGCCCCGAGCGCCGCCTGCGACCCGCGGCGGCGGCGGCGGCAACGCTGCGGCCGAGCTCGAAGCTGCGGCGCCCGGATCTGCGTCTCCTTCATGAGCAGGGGCCTCGCGCGGCGCAGCTCTGGCTTCGGTTTTCGGCAAGACGGGGTTGGCGTAGATCGGCTCGTCGACGTTCTAGGTCGGCCTCCTGGTTCTCGGGCAGGAGGTCCCGCCGCCCCAGCGCCGCTTGACATTGCGGCCGTCGGTCAGGGGGAGGGGCCCTTCCCAGGATTGGGAACGCGGCCGCCCTCTGTGAAGGCGTCGGCGCCCACGATCGCGCGCTCCGCGCTCGTCGCCTGGAACTCGATCTGCAGCGGCGCTCCGTCGCTCTCGGCTGAGACGACCCTCGCGCCCATCGACTGGACCTCGTCGCCCGTCGCCAACTCGCGAAGGGGCGGGCTCTCAGGCGGCAACATGTCCGCGCTGTTCGCCAAGTCCTTGGGGCGCGTCGTCAGGCCCGAGCCCGCGTCGAAGAGCGCCCAGTCGAACTCCGCCATCTCTTCGACAGCCACGGGGAGCGCGTCGCGCTGCAGGGTCTCGCAGGTCACGCCGACCTGCCGGCGGTGCTCCTCGGGCGCCGGGACGTTCGCGCCCCATCCGACGCTAATGTTCGAGATCTGGACAGCCGAAGCCGCAGGGGCAGAGCTCCTCTGCTGCTGGAGCTGCATCTGGGACAGGACCGCCGCGACATGCGCCGCGTCCAAGGTCCGGGGTCGGGGCGGGACTCGACTGCGACCCAGCGCGGTTGCCCCGCAGCTGGCCCCTGCTGAGCTGCGCGGCTGGCTGCTGGCCGCTGGGCGCCTCCGTCGGCACCGAGACCCCCCTGAATTTCTTCTCGTCGGCCTTCTCCCTGCGACAGTCCGCCGCGAGGTGTCCAGCCTTGCTGCAGCAGTTCCAGGGGCGGGTCTCCTGGCTCTTGTCCTTGGAGTCGCCTTCGTCCTTGCCGTTGCCTTGCCATTTGCCGTCGTTGGCCTTGTCCTTCGCGCCCTCGGCCTCGCCCTTGCCGATCGCGTCGTCCTGCGTGGGGGCGACTCCGTCGCCTCCCGCGTCCGCAGATGCCCATCTCCGCTGCGCCGAGCAGATCTTTCAGGTCGTCGTGGGTGACCAACCTCGTCGCGTTCAAGCTGAGGTGGTCAGTCGGTTTATCGTTCTCGATCCCCAACATAACCACTCCGCGCATCATGTTGGTCGCGACAACGTCGCCACTGCATTGTCGGTGCACTCCCGAACCAACATCTCGAACCCCGACGCGCGGGCCACCGCGGGGTCAGGGAACTCGCAGTGGACGATGCGGTCCAGCACGGCCGCGAACCTGTCCGCCTCCTTCGCCGCACCTTGAGAGGTTACCACCGCGCTGCGAGTCCGTCGCCACCCGGCGCCTTCCTGACCTCCACATTGGCTACACATTGGGCCAGGGTGTAGCACAGCTGGTTGTTCAACTTGGCGTCGAGGACGTCGTTGGCCGTCAGAACGTCAGCCGCCCGCGAGGCTAGAAGTTCCCCCAGTCAGGGGGGGACAGCGTAGGCGCAGGCCTCGAAGTCGAACAACCTGGTCTTCCACTCCGATCGCATGCCTGTGAACGTTCGCGGCGCGTGCAACAACCTCGCGTCGACCATCTGGCCACCCGTCTCTGCTGGCGCCGCTGCGCCGCGCATGCGCTCAACTTCTCCTTGAGCCAACCGCTGGGCCGCGGCGCCGAACCGCCGCCTGAGGTTCTCGCTCTCCGCGAACACCTCCCTGCGCCGGGCGACCTCTCCGCTCGCGAGCCTCGAGCGCTCGGCGAGCGCCTCCATCGCGGCAGGCGGCGCCGTCGCAGCGCAGCCGAGGATCGCCAGGGCAAAGCGGGCGATCACTCCTCAGCCACGCTCCGCTACCCTCCGCGGAGGCGCGTCAGCGTGTCCGAATGGACTGGGCCCCGCAGGGCCTCTTGGGTTGGCCCCGCAACGCCTCCGTCCCAGATGACCTTTTTTCACCCACAACGGCTGCAGGAGATGCACGTGTCAAACGTGCACGTGTGACAATCTCAAACAAGGAATTCGAGCGCAGAGCGTCGAAAAACTTGGGTTTCATAGGGGGGAGTGCTTCTGCGTTGCACTGGCACCTGAACAATTGTAGGCGCCTCCGAGATTGCTGTAAGCTTTGTTGTCGGCGTTTCCTTGGGTGCTTATCACGTGACCACGGTGGCCGCGTCGCGCATGAACGCGCCGCCCGGCCACAGTGGGCGCGGGAAAAAAACTGCGGCGGATCGTGCGCGCGTTGTGTGATATCTGCAGACGAACGGTTCTCACTAGAATCAGATATCATAACATATATATATATATATATATATATACTAGAATCAATGCGCGCTGCGCACGCGCCCAAGTTCTAGCTAGGCTTGATGGGCGAACGCATGGAATACCATCGTTGTCGCTGCTTGCATCCAGGGGCTTTCTTGCAGACCCTGCGCACGTCTCGGGATCGCATAGAAGGGGAATTGCGGAAACGCAGAAATCATTACTTGCCGCAACGATTTGAGACCCTCAAAGGCTTCCTGGGTCCTTTTTCTGGGGCCTTAGCTGTGGTCTCCCGTGCAAGAGTAGACAGGGGGCGAACTTGGAAAAAGACTGGGTGGTGGGACTTCCCTTTTTCCAACTTGTGATGCCTGGGCTGTGGGTTAAACGTGTTATGGATGCAGGCCACGGTCTGTTGGGATGCCTCTCGGGGTCTTCGTGCAAAAATAAGCAGGGGCGGATTTGAAAAAAATGAATTCTAAAATTCCACTGCTCCAACCCATGGGATCATAGGATCTCGATTTCTAAAATTGTTTCAAGGGCAACCAAGAGGACACGAAAACGATCCAAGAGAGTACCAAGACAGCGCCAGAGAGTTCGACAGCATTCCCGAAACATTATTGCATGCAGTCCCGAAGTCTTGATGAGGCTCGAGCAAGAAGATGGGGAGTAGGAGTCCCAATTTGAAGAATCTTGAAAACCCGTTTTTTCTCCAAATCCCAAGGTCTTGGAGCATTGGAAGCGGGACAACGTGAGAAGGCAAACAACGTTGACAAAAACCACTGGAAAGCAACGAGTTTACCCTCTTCGGGCTCTCTCGGGACGGCTCTAGAAGCTCTCTTGGGCCTTCTTGGGGGCCTCGTCGGGGATTTCCTGGGAGCCTCTCAAGGGTCTGGGGTGTGTTGGAAGCCTCTGGGGGGTCCCGGAGTCTTCTCGGAGGTTTCTGGCGGCCTCCTGCTCCCGCTCTTGGGCTCATCTTGGGCCTGTTCCAGGGTGGTCTGGAGCTGTCCGTGGCGCCTCTTCGGCAGTCTTGGGGCCATCTTGGCCAGCCTCGGGGCGGTATTCGGGGCCTCGTCGGCCGTCTTGGAGCGTTGGAAACATGAAATTGTGAGAAAGCCAAAAAACGGCTGAAATATTAGGAAATGAACAATTGTTGGTTCTCCAGGCGCTCTCGGGAGGCCTTTCGGAGCTCTCTTGAGGTCTCTTGGAGGCCTCCTGGGAGCCTGAACAGTCGCCCGAAACCTATCCTGGGTTGCTTGGGAGCGTCTTGGGCCTTT